TGGCTGGGGAATTCTGGGAGTTGAAGTCCACACATCTTCCAGCTGCCAAGGTTGAGAAACACGAATCTAGGATCTCACTTTTCCAAGCTTTCTTGGTCATTTAAAACTCCCTCTCTCAGCCTGAGTCACTGCTATCCCAATTTGAAATAATAATAATATTAATAATAATAATACCACTCCCACCACCAGCAGACTTCTGAGACCCTCACATGGACAGTTGTTGACGAGCCATCTTCCCACCCAGACAAGCTTCATGCACCATACTAACCCTTGTTTATGTAATGGCATTTGCTTAAGGAAGCCATAGCTGGTGGCTGTGTGCGTTATTGGTCTGTTTCAGTCGCAGTCGGCTGAATGAGCCAGGGTGGGCTGTGTTTGCAGGACCCTCCGTCTGGCGAACCTGGGCTCCTCTGCCCCAGCGGCTGCATCCGCAGAGCATCCGAGCAAGGGCCAAGCGAGTCACGGCAGAGCGCAGAAAAGAGCAGGAAGACCGTTCCATCTTCCCAGACTTTCTCATCGGCTTCTAATTGTGTTTTCACGGTACTTCCGTTCATATCGCTTTAGATTTTGAACGTCTGCCTTCCTGCTGCCTAGTCTATGCGGTGTTTTCATGTTGCATTTGATTGGGTCGTATCTTTATTCGAAGGGTTTTCTTTCTTTAATGTGTTTTATTGCAAACCACCTGGAAAGCATTGGCTATTGGGTTTTTCTTATTTATTTATTTATTCATTCATTCATTTATTCATTTATTTATTTATTTGAATAAAGCAAAGTAATGCATCAACCAGCTTTGCCAGCAAAGGTGCTTTCTCCAGATCAGCAGCACCCCCAACAACCCGAAAGTCAAACCCAGGCTGATGTCTGAAGAAACCGATATTTTGGAGAGGCATGTCCCCCGGCCCCCCGCCCCGTGTTTTAGACATAGGAGCAGAAAGGCTTTTTCCTCCCCAAAAGAGCTTCCGGTCAGTAAGACGAACCTGTAGGTGACCAGGCTGTTTAGCGCCCCAGGAATATTCTGCCTCCTGCCTTCCTCTGTGCCCTCCAGCTGTTTTGGCAGACGTCTTGAGTCATTCATTCCTTGAACATCTGTCTATACCACCGCGCTCCCGGCAAGTGGAGAACGGCAGTCCAACTGAAGCAAAAGAAATGCTTTGCTGGAAGAGGCATCTTTTCACAGACGAGAGCTGAGTCCTTGCACTGAAGTCTCTCTCTCCCCCCATTCCCCGCCCCGTCTTCTTTCCACAGGCAGCCCGGTCAGCCTGCTGGAGCATGGCCTGCTAATGATCCTGACGTCCCGCGCAGCCCCAGAGTGACTCTTGGTGGGTCAGATGGCTACAGCCAACAAAGGTGAGTGCAGAAGGGGTCGCTGGCCAGCATCCATCGGAGGCCCCCCAGACACTGGCCCCTTTTTTGCCTTTGGGGTCAGGGCAAGACAGTTGTCTGATGCATTTCAGATTTGTAAGGCGCTTGAACCTGTGGACGCCCCCTCCCCAAATGGGTTTTGGCCCCTCTTTTGGAGCACAGCTCTTGCGATCCAGAAGGAGCGCATCCTTCTGGATCTGTGTGCCTGTTGCCATGGTGACTGTGCAGGGGCATCCTTTCGGTCCATCTGTGTCCAAGAGGGCTGCTTAGAGCAGGGTTCCTCAACCTTGGCCACCTTAAGACGGGTGGACTTCAACTCCCAGAATTCCCCAGCCCCCCCTCTTGGGTGGGGGATTTTTGGGGTTTAAGGCCACCCCCCCTTAGGTGGCCCAGGGTGAGGAAACCCTGCGTTGGGGGGGA